ATGGGCCTTCAACCCCTTGTGGCCCGTGCAAAGCAGTAATCAGAGCAAAGGGTGGCTTTTCTGAAGAAAATGGAAAATAAAACACGTTTTCAGTTATTTCCCCTTTAAACTCCACATCAAAGGTTTGATGCCTTCAGTGAGAATCTCCCAATGTAAACGGTCAAGATAATAAAGACAGCACATTGAATGAGAAGGTGTGTCCAAACCTTTGGCTTGTACTGAATAAAACAAAGTTTACAAAATAAATATTTGTATTTTTCATTTAACAGATAAAAGAGAAGCAGCAATTTCAGCCAATCTGACATTAATCAGACGTATTTGTTAAATAAGCAGCAATAAAAAATAATTTTTTCTTATTCTGTCAGTATAACAGTAACAGATGTTCTAAGAAGTGGTTCTACTTGTTTTTGTTGGCATCGAGCCGCTCTGACTGAACGTAAACCACCACTATGGCGCCGTTTCCTCGTGTAAAACTGGGTTTCTCATCTTGGTTCTGATCGGAATCTTTGATCCAGTTGACTTCCTGATCACCGGTTCCTCAGTGTTTCTGGTCCTGTTTTAACATCAGGCCGTGCCCTCTGCAGGAGCAGCAGGGGGCTGTGTCCATTTCTGACATTTAACTACGTAGAACCCAATCAGAACCATAGAAACCACCAAAGTCACAGCGACCACGACCCAGATTCAGAGCAAAATGCCCTCCGGTACAGTGGAGACCTTCAGTGTTCCGTTCTTAGAAACCGGTTCAGCTGCAGGAGTCATGCTGGAGTCGTGTTTGAGGTCAGGGCCGGAGTGGGACTTATTTTCAGCTCTGGAGTTTCAGGGTTCAGACCGGTGTTCTCCGTCTGAGAGGAGGGCCAAGTTGGCAGCGTGACGAGGCGGATTCTTACGAGCTCTCAACACTAGGTGATGATAATAAGTCATATCTTCAACGCCTTTTTGACGTTTATACTGCTTCCAAGCTTCTTTGAAGATTAGTGTGGTTAGTGTGCAAGGCACTATAAGGCACAAGAACAAGTCAAAATCTGTTCAGGAGAGGTTGAGCACCTCGGGCTAACAACTAGTGGCTAGCGTGCTAGCTAGCGACCAAACTATCGGAAAACAAAAATGGACAAACAGCAGATGGCAGAGGACTTTCCTCCACTACCAATAACACCATCCAAACCTAGCCTACCCTAACTCTCCCTACTACATCACTAAAGTCAGTCGGTTGCAAGTTTTTAGCAACCATGACTCGATCTGGACTGGGGCGACCTACATAAACCATAAATAAATGCATGAGAGGATTTATTAAGAACGAAGCTCATTTTCCTCTGAACACAAGTTATGGAAGTGATTGTCCATCGTTTGTGTTCGAGGCGCTGTTCCCTCTCGTCTGCCTGATTGCAGGGCCGGGCCCCTCCCAAGCCCTGATCGGGGGCTCGCTGCCCTGAAGCTCCACCCCTGACGTGAAGAAGGAAAGTCTGCCTACTTTGTTGGCGGTCGAGGTTTCGTGAACGGAGCCGAAATTCACATATAAATTTTAAATCACACCAAGAATCTCAAGTCTTCTCAAACCCTCTAGATGGTATTCTTTGTTTTCCTACAAGATTTACAGACAAAAAATAGAGGTAAAATATACATATACAAAAAAGAGGGAATGGAGAAGGGGAAGAAAGGATGAAGGGTAGTAAAGAAAGGAAGAAAAAAGAGAAAGATAGTTAAAGGTTCATTATTGTTGTTTTCTGATACACATTACTGCTAGCTCTCTGTGGTTAACTAAATGTTTATTGTTATATAGATAAAGATTTGTTTTGAAATACACTCTAGTCAAGGTCGTGGTTCAGTTTACGGTGGTTTGGCGTCATCATGTGGACAGTTAATGATATTGCGGTTATTTTATTATTATTTGTTGTTTTATTTTGCAGTTTACTTGCAAAATCTAAACAATTAAGGGGTAAGAAATTCTTTATTCACAGTTTACCTACTTTATACGTCTTAATGCATGTTTTTTTGTGTGTTTTTTTTTAGAAACGAACCTTATATCTGACTCCTAAAACAAATGTATCCTTGCAAAAACCCCACAATTCCAGAAATCATCAACAGTAATAAAACAACCCAGTGTGACTTATCTGACGAGTGTAGACGACCAAAATGAGACAATTCTGAAGAAATACAAACCATAAATGTGAGACAAAGGCCTCGACATAAAAAGAAGTCTGCATCCAAAGAGGTGCAACAATTAGTCATGATGAGACATAAAATAAATTAAAACGTTTGAAAACATAAGACAATTATGATGCGTAACCTAAATTAGCCAATGCTGCATGCAGAATCGTAGGGAAACAATAAACAGTGATTATCTTTTTTTAAAACCGATGAAAAATGACAAAGAATAGATATGGGACACAGATGCACGCAAACATGCATAAATCAAAAAAGTTGTCACTAAATGAACCCAACTTAGTTCAAAATAAGCTGAAAAATGATCAAAATCACACAGAAACAATCGGTAAAGGACCAAAAACGAGCTCAAATTGTTGAGCAGTTATGCCTAAAAGCCACACAATACCCAGCTGGAGGCTGAATGAAACTGTGGCCTTGAATCAGAGTCTTTTCAAAACTGTCAGAGGCCTTTCAAGGACTTCTCTGGTTCTCAAAGACGTCCCATGAATATAATCTATTATAAAACACACGATTCACTAATTTTGTGTTTGCAAGGCTGAAACTCTGTGGATTAAAACTGAAGTTGAGGCATCATGTTTGCAGGTAATATCATTTTAATACATTAACCCTGAACTAAATTCGACATGTGGACTCGAGCTGACACGTCATTTTCAGTGATAAGAGTCAGCTTTAAGAGCCTGCTTGCTGCAGGCACAGATGATCTGAATCGTCTCTTAGCTATGGCTGCCAGGGGGAACTCCCCTAATGAAACTCAAGCCTGTTCAGATCTACTCTTTTTCATTGTTTGCAAATGTCACAAATTGCATATTTAGCTTCATCTGTTAGCCAGTAAGTTATTTCAAATGTCATTGGAGCAAATGTGTTCAGTCAGAAGATCTGCAAATGTTATTTATGGAGGCCAGGTAAAAAATATTGTTTAGGATTTGATCATGGTTCAGTTGAAAGTGATTTAACACCATCCTGTGGACCTTTAACCCCACTGCATTAAATTTGATACTGGAAGCCTTATCTTTAACCATTTTATAGATAAGAACAGTTTTTACCTCTAAACGTTTATTTTTGAGAAATGAAATTAATATTTGACTCCAAAAATAAAGAAAATACAAATTTAAACAGAAGAATTGGGATTTGTTTATAAATAAAGCAGAAGAACCTGAGAATATTACAATACCCAACAACTCAAAATGTTGTGCAAATGTCATGGGGGGGGGGGGGGGGCAAAATCAAAAGCAGCATTAAACTGTGCAATCAAAAGCAAAACTCAAATATCAGTGTCATCATAAAGAAAGTTCTACTTTCCATTTTGTTCAACTGCTGAGGCCAGTCAGCAGGATCCATGGGGCCAGCAGCTCCTACATGTTCACAGACATCTGTTGAAGCTGATGATGGCGTCTCTTCAGACTGTTGGATTGGAGCACTGAGTCTGCTGCTGTGGTGTTGGGTTCTTCTGTGAGAAGATACACACACACACACACACACACACACACACACACACGCACGCACGCATGCACGCACACACACACAAACAAACAAACAAACAAAGCAACTTAACCCTCTGATGCATGAATTAATTAAGAACAGTACCACTTTCACGTTCAGTATTCCTCAGTCATGTGCAGTGATGCTTTTCATTATTTTTAATGTTACTGGACATTTTACTTTATTGATTTTTTTTAATCTGTTCTATGAAAACATGAATACAATTATCAAAAACAGGTGGAAGTGAGCGCATCCATGGGGAATATTTGAAAAAACTTATGTCTGACTCTCAGGTGCTCTTCAGCATCAAATAAATCGTAGAATATGAGGAAGAAGATCCGGTGATCTGAGGCACTCTGAGGATTTCATTTATTAAACAAGGAAACGCCGACGCGTTTCGGTACGACCTTCTTCAGGGCATAACCCTTTATCCCCTGTTGATGACTCACTATGTCACAAAAACTAATGTCCATCCTGTTTTTTTTATTTTTTTTAAATTTACAGCCTAATTGACAATAACATCTTAAGGAGACAATTTCAGATGTGCATGTTCAGATTATTTATATTCTCAATGCTAAATCAATGCTGCACTCGTGCCAAAAACACGTGTCTGGTGTGGATTTAAATAAATTAATTTTGCATATCGATATATGTGATAAGCTGTTTAATTTGAAAAAGTCTGTTTCTACCGCTGATTACAAATAGCCTAACAAGTAACTTACTCACTTGGTTCTAGATGCTGAGACTGTAGCTCAGTAAATGTGCTGCTGCTTGATGCCTGGATGAAGACGCTGCAGCGTAAACAAGAAAGAAACAGCATAAGATGTCATGCTGTGTTTAGGCAGTGTGATAGCACTGCTTGAAATATCTGGATTAGCATGTAAATGAGTATCAAATATGTGTGTTTGATATTCAATTACTGAAATAAATAAACTTTTACACCATGTTTATTTTTAGTTTTTGCTTCACCAGTAAAATGTGTCAAATTTAATCTACGTCAGTGTTTTTTATAACAAAATTAAAATGTTAATTGTGTGGTCCTCAATTTTGAGGTTAAGCTTTTGAAGGTTGTGACTAAAAGAAGTACTCAAAATGGGAGTACCTTACTACACTTCTTAATGGACTTAGGTCATGTCAAATTTAACTGATTTATTTACTTATGAAATAGCTAACCTTCATTGTTGAGTTAACTTTTTAATTAGTGTGGACTTACTGCACATTCGCTGTTTTCTGGTGAATAAATTAACAAAGGAAAAGAAGAATAAATTTGCACGTAGAATATGGACCTTTTAATGATTTTCGAGCTTTTAAATATAAATTTAATTTAAAAATCGTAAATGCAGTTTAAATCTTTGACCAGCTGGTGGCGGGAAAATACATTTTGGACTTAATTCCTACCGGAAAAGAAGAAAGGTGACGTCATTGTTTACGGTAGGTGAATGTTGCTGTCTAGCAGCTAATTCCTGAGGTCTTCTGCATCTTTTTACTTTGTGATTTGCTCTAGGCGGCTTTGCATGTGTGTTGGCTGATGCTATTGCTATCGGAGGATCTCGCGCGGCGGCGGTTGAGTGCTTTTGTTGTTAAAGTTAACGTGTTAGGAACGTAAAGCCAGCATGCTAACTGTTACTTTAAGTCAGCATAAAGAAAACAAACATCAGCGCTGCTTCTACTGATTTAGACATAGTTTCTACTCTTGCGTTGCGTGTCTCTAATGTGTTGTAGCGTTTTGCTGTGAAGCTGTCCTCCATCAGAGACTGCTGGTCCACCTGTCTGACGTTCAGGAGACAGTGATGGCGTAGAGACAGTCTCCTTCCAGGAGGGGAGGTCTCCTTTCAACATGGCTTCTGAACTCCATGAAACCATATTTATGGCCAAGCAGGAGCGCCACAAAAACCTTTTTCTGAACTACAAAAACCTGAACATGTTTCCGGTGGAGCTGCTGAAGGATGAAGGGCTGCGGTTTCTGGAGAGATTGTACATGAAGAGAAACTCCCTCACCACGCTGGTACCTACTCAGATGACTGGTTTTACTGTGTTCGAAAACCCTTTATGAATAAGTGCTTCATAGATCCTGTGATGTTTCAGATTATTGATGTTTGGTTTTGTCTTTTCAGCCTGACAATCTTGCTCAGAAGCTCCCAAATCTAATTGAACTGTGAGCACTTCCCCCGGGTTATTTTATAACTTTAATACAGTCTAAAAGCTGACAATAACCTGTTTTTTATTTGTTTTGATTTTAGGTACCTGCACTCAAACAACATAGTCGTTATACCCAAAGGTAGGAACTCCATACAGCCATGCTAGAGCAGCAATATCTGATCTGATTAGTTTGTTTAAAGCTGAAGTAGGTGGTTGATCTGATCTCCAGCTATTGGAAACTTGGCCAGACTTCAGTCGTTGGACCTGAGCAATAACGCCCTCCAGCTGCTCTGTCCAGAAGTTGGCCGTCTAAGGTCTCTACGCCACCTGAGATTGTCCAACAATCAACTTAAAAACCTTCCTTCAGGTAAAATAAGAAGTTTTGAAGCGTACTTTCCCTTGAAAGCATCAAATACTTGAGACACAGAGAGATATTACATCATCCTTTGATCTTCTATGTATGGAGCGAGTCCTGTTTGCTCTGTGGGAATCACCTCAGCCAATAGAAATAGAAATAGAAACTTCTGACAGATCTTCACAAAGTCTAAATAGATTTTGATCAACACCACGTTCAAATATTACAGGAAGGTTTTACCAGACAGAAGCAGCATTTACTCCAGACCTGTAGACATATTCATGGCTGTATATATGCATCACAGTCTGTATTAAAGGTAGACCCATCGGGGTAGATCACTATATTGGTCGGCCGATATTTGTCGCTAGTTAAGCCGATTTAAAGTCAGGCACATCTTCGGACAGCTCGGTGCTTTTGTAGAATTTAATTTAAATGTATTTTTTTTAACTAAACATCTGCATAGTAAATACACTAAATTAACTTTATTTAGGTGTCTGACTTTAACACTGAACAGTGCATTTGACATTTTAGCATGAGTATTGGGAAATTTCTAGATATGGGCCCATAAAAATTGGCAGTACGTATCGGCCATCGGCGGATCATGTCTTCCACATATCAGTATCGGCAATAGAAAAGCCAATATTGGTTAACCTCTAGTCTGGATGTTCCTAAAGGGGAAAAATAAATATAAAGGTCCTTCTAAAAAATTAGCATATTGTGATAATGTTCATTATTTTCTGTAATGTACTGATAAACATTAGACTTTCATATATATTAGATTCATTACACACAACTGAAGTAGTTCAAGCCTTTTATTGTTTCTAATATTGATGATTTTGGCATACAGCTCATGAAAACCCAAAATTCCCATCTCAAAAACTTAGCATATCATGAAAAGGTTCTCTAAACGAACTATTAACCTAATCATCTGAATCAACTAATTAACTCTAAACACCTGCAAAAGATTCCTGAGGCTTTTAAAAACTCCCAGCCTGGTTCATTACTCTAAACCCCAATCATGGGTAAGACTGTCGACCTGAATGCTGTCCAGAAGGTCATCATTGACACCCTCAAGCAAGAGGGTAAGACACAGAAAGAAATTTCTGAACGAATAGGCTGTTCCCAGAGTGCTGTATCAAGGCACCTCAGTGGGAAGTCTGTGGGGAGGAAAAAGTGTGGCAGAAAACGCTGCACAACGAGAAGAGGCGACCGGACCCTGAGGAAGATTGTGGAGAAGGATTCCAGACCTTGGGGGACCTGCAGAAGCAGTGGACTGAGTCTGGAGTAGAAACATCCAGAGCCACCATGTACAGGCGTGTGCAGGAAATGGCTACAGGTGCCACATTCCCCAGGTCAAGCCACTTTTGAACCAGAAACAGCGACAGAAGCGCCTGACCTGGGCTACAGAGAAGCAGCACTGGACTGTTGCTCAGTGGTCCAAAGTACTTTTTCGGATGAAAGCAAATTTTGCATGTCATTCGGACATCAAGGTGCCAGAGTCTGGAGGAAGACTGGGCAGAGGGAAATGCCAAAATGCCTGAAGTCCAGTGTCAAGTCCCCACAGTCAGTGATGGTCTGGGGTGCCATGTCAGCTGCTGGTGTTGGTCCACTGTGTTTTATCAAGGGCAGGGTCAATGCAGCTAGCTATCAGGAGATTTTGGAGCACTTCATGCTTCCATCTGCTGAAAAGCTTTATGGAGATTTTTCAGCACGACCTGGCACCTGCTCACAGTGCCAAAACCTACTGACCATGGTATTACTGTGATCAGTTGGCCTGCCAACTCTCCTGACCTGAACCCCACAGAGAATCTGTGGGATGATGTGAAAAGAAAGTTGAGACGCAAGACCCAACACTCTGGATGAGCTTAAGGCTGCTAGCGAAGCATCCTGGGCCTCCATAACACCTCAGCAGTGCCACAGGCTGATTGTCTCCATGCCGCATTGAAGCAGTCATTTCTGCAAAAGGATTCCCGACCAAGTATTGAGTGCATAACTGAACATAATTATTTGAAGGTTGACATTTTTTGTGTTAAAAACACTTTTCTTTTATTGGTCGGATGAAAAATGCTACTTTTTTGAGATAGGAATTTTGGGTTTTCATGAGCTGTATTCAAAAATCATCAATATTAGAAACAATAAAAGGCTTGAACTACTTCAGTTGTGTGTAATGAATCTAATATATATGAAAGTCTAATGTTTATCAGTACATTACAGAAAATAATGAACTTTATCACAATATGCTAATTTTTTGAGAAGGACCTGTATATAACCGGTTAATACTTGTTGATGCCCACAGCTCACATGTATTAAGCAGCTGCTGCCTGATGCTGTGGTCCTTGCTGTTGGTAAAAAGTAGAGGTTGACCAATATTGTTTTTTCTATTGCTGATATGATGCAGGCAGATATGTAGAGGTCATGGTCAGCTGAAGGCCGATATCTAGACGTTTTCCACCATATCTGCATGTTAAAGTGTCACTAATAACATCAGTGAATGAAAACGTTTCTGAAGCTGAATCCGTTTTTCAACACTGCATTTAACCAACTGTTGGTGTTAAAATCAGACATCTAACTAAACGTAATCAAACAATTAAATATTCATAATGGTAAATAAAAGGAAACTAGGTTGAAAACGTTTTAGAGAATTTATTATGCAGATGTCATACATATACATTTAAATTGTGCAGCATCAGCGGGTTGCCCGGGGATGTGCCTGACTTTAAATCAGCTTTACTATGGAGGTGTACCAGTCGATGCCGATATATAAAAAATTGTAAATATTGCCCCAATATATCAGATGACCAATATATTGGTCTACCCCTTATTATTAACAAGCCATGTTTTACTTTCTGCTTACTGACGTTTGTGACGTAAACACTTTGTTTGCCACCAGGGGTCAGCAGAGGTAAACTATTTAAGTACAGAGTAACGTTGTTCAGTCAGAAACAAACATTTGATCATCTCTTTGTACTGATTTCATTTTCTAACTTTATGAAATGAGTTCTGCATTTTACCTCATGAGGCTTGTTTCTCTCATGCTGACTCCTGCAGAGATCGGTGATCTTCAGGACCTGGAGACACTTGACGTATCCATGAACCAGCTGATGTCTCTACCAGACAGCCTGCACCGCTGTGTCTCGCTGCAGAACCTGACAGTGGACCACAACCTGCTGAGCCATGTTCCTCGACAACTCTGCTGGCTACACTGCCTCAACCAGCTCTCCATGGCTGCCAACCGACTAACCTTCCTCCCACTTGGTGAGTTTTCCTTTATTTGTGGCTTTTTGTTGATTTGATATACAAATTTTGTGTTTTAGATCTCGGCAGATCCAGAGAGCTACAGTTTGTGTTTGTGGACAACAACACGGACCTAAAAGGTCTCCCGTCCTACATGTACAACAAGGTCATCGGCTGCAGCGGGTAACACACCTGACTCACTTCTCCTGACTTCTCATGCTGCTGTCACAAAGGTGTGGGTGGGTGTGTGTGTGTGTGTGTGTGTGTGTGTGTGTGTGTGTGTGTGTGTGTGTGTGTGTGTGTGTGTGTGTGTGTGTCTGTGTGTGTGTGTGTGTGTGTGTGTACAGGTGTGGTGTATCCTACCAAGGGCTGGGGGGTGAGATGGGTGAGGTGCTGCGTGATGCTCTGATTGGGCTTCCAGCTGAGGTGAAGGTGATTGGATCAGAGAAGGATAACGTGGTTCCTCTGGAGGAGCTGGCCATGAGGACTCTGCACCACATCCACCAGCAGCACCCAGCAGGTGAGCACATTTACACCAGTTCTACATTAAATGACGACAGAGGTGTGTTTGTAGTTTCTTGTGAGAAAACCACATCTCCCTGTTTGCTGTTTGAATCCTGACCTGTTTTGTCTCCAGGCCTGAACCTGCTGCCCCCCATCAGCCTCCCAAAGGCCCTGCTGGACCTGCTGCAGTTCCCTCTGGGTCACTGTCACCGGTGCAGCCAGGCCATGTTCACCATCACATACCCGAAGTTTTTCCCACTCCGTGACACGGCCCTGGCAGGAGTGCACCGCAGGTCAGAACACGGATTTGTCCCTGTAGCAACAGACATGTTTGGTTCTGACATCTTTGTTCCTTCTGCAGAACCACAGTGAGTTTTGTGGCCTATTGCTGCTCCAGTCACTGCCACAGGACCTTTGACCTGCAGGGGTGATGCAACCCCCCCAAAAAAAGTTCATCTTCAGTATCGAGGGGGACAGATAATGTCCTGAGGGCTGTCAGCTGGTGAAGCTAATCACACAGGAACTCTGCTACCTGCCATTGCAGATGCTGGACGATGGGACTGCTGCTCCTTGAGTTCATATTCCATCTCTCTGGACATAAAACACTTGTGGTCTAGCTGATCAGCTTGGGTTGTTTGGGTTCAGGATGATCATCATCAGTGTTGGACCTGAGGACCACTCACAGGAGAGAACTTTGACAAGCAAAGACTTTGATTCTTGGGAATTCATGGAGTCATTTTGTAATAATGCTAATTACTGAAGAATGTTTAAAGGTTTCTTATTTAAAAGTGTGTTAAATGTGTTATTTATAAATAATACAATTACTAGAAGCTAGTTGTCATTACTGGCCTTAATGTGCTTACTTAATGACACTCTGTGTCATTAAGTGAGCAATGATGATGTTCAAGGCATCATTGTGTGTGTGTGTGTATTTTTATATATGTATTTATATATATATATGTATGTATATGTATATATATGTATGTGTATATATATATATATGTATATATATATATATACGTATATATACATATACGTATATATATATATATATATATATATATATATATATATATATATATATATATATATATATATATATATATATATATATAAGGAACGTGTACATGTACAGGAATATCCTGGACAAGACCCTTCTCCAGAGTACTCAGGACCCCAGATGACTGAAGGTTTACCTTCCAACATGACAATGACCCTATAGGCTCACCGCTAAAATAATGATGGAGTAGCTTCAGGGCAACTCTGTGACTGTTCTTGAATGTCCCAGCCAGAGGCCTGACCCAAGTGAGCATCTCTGGAGAAACCTAAAAATGTCTGTTCACCATCCAACCTGACAGAACAGGAGAGGATCTGCAAATCAAGGTGTAAGAAAGAAGCAAACACACAGCGCTTAATCCAAATGAGTTCCGGTGCTCAACAGCTGGTACTTGCAATTTAAGAATAAAAAGGAAGGCTGGAGCACGCACCTATTAAATACTTTATTTGACCCAAGGGCTCCGGCCTTCCTCCATATTCTTGAGGTGTAAGAAACTTGTTGCATCAAGAAGACTCAGAGTTCATACATCTATAAAGTTCAGGACAAGCTAGGACATCATCATCATCAAAGAAACAACTGAATCACACTCAAAAAGCAAATGTGGTTCTTGGGTAGTCGGGGTGTTGATTTAAGACTCTGAGGAACCAATTTAAGCTGCTAAATAATTACATGTTACTGGAATAGAAATAGAACTAGAAAATTCATGAAGAGGTTTAAAAAAGGGACCTGCCACCTGGCCAAAGATGGTGTTTACACACATGTAAAAATGCCACACACTCAAAGGTTCAAAGGGATAGATCAATCTGCACAAAAATGAGACATCTTTTGAAGTCTTTTGCTAATTTTTTCACCATGGTAAATCAGATCCCTTATAAAAATAACAGCACACTTCCCACGGCCGAGCCGCTCGTTATGTATAATATTTGCGGGTGCACGCTGCCGTTCGAGCCGCTTTACATCCGCGGAAGAATAATAGTAAAGTAAGTAATTACATTTTATTTATTTAGCACTCATCACAGACACAGAATCACAAAGTGCTTCACGTAGATCAACAACAAAACAAATCAATGCAAAACATGGATCTTGGACGTTAATCTGTGGGAGGGGTAGGAAACCGACTCCTGTGTGGTTGTTTTTAATATTGTAAAGCGAGCTGCACTTGTATGAAAAGCGCGTCATAAATAAAATATTTGATTTGTTGAAGTCATAAAATCACAATGATCTTAACAGAAATAAATTTAAATCATAAAAACAAAGTCATAAAATTACAAATGATCATAAAACAAATGAAAAATATTACAAATTTGAGTTAAAAAATAGCAAAACAAAAGATTTTGGTAAAAAACAGCTTTAAATAAAAGGGTCTTCAGCTGTTTTTTAACCCTTTGATGCATAATGGTCACTACAGTGGACAGGTACTCAAAATTGTTATTTCTTTATTTTTGCTATTAAGTACAGCTGTTGAATACTTTATTGCATGTGAGCCCCACCATTTGGACTTCAGTAAGTCAAGCCACCATATTTCATGTTCAGAATGCATGCTGTCCACTGAGATGGACATGTAATAAAGCATTTGTAAATTAACAAAATGGTACAAAAAATATTTGTTGAAATTTGTTTCATTCACACCTAAAGATGAATGAAAAAAATTGTTAAAAAATCATGGTTGAAGATTTCATAATTCATGCATCAGAGGGTTAATGGTTACCAGACTGTCAGTACTACACAAGGTTACAGGAAGTTCATTCCGAAGCCAGGGTGCAACAACCTGGAAGGAGCGATCTCCTTGACTTTTAAATCTGGTCTTTGGAACTTCTTGGGTCGGATCAGAAGAAACAAAAAATGATATAATCCTCGGGTGGAGAGCAAAGCAGCGTCAGCGTCGTCGTTGCCCATTTAGAGCTTTGCTTTATGACGTCATCTCCATCATCACGTGATCATAAGATCATAAGCGGATTCTACAGGCATTCAGTTCTCAGTGACGCACCGTCAGAGACAGTCGTGTTTGCTCGTTGTTCGATAGTGTTTCAACTTATCGTCTACGTGTTATTTAGCATTATGGGAGACTCTTTTGCACACAAGAGTTACTCTTCAGCTCTGGTTAAAGATTCAGAGACTTATATTAGCATGGAACAACCGCATTTGTCAGAGAATCGTGGTTTAGTTTCAGCAACCAAACGAAAAGCCGTTTCAGACCCTGGACCTCCCACAAGAAGATTTAAGGTTTCTGATGAAGGCAAACTCTCTGCAAACAACCAGAACATTACACAAATTGACAAATTCACAAAGAAATCCATTTCCTTTGATGTTGAGGGATCTGAAAATCCAGACAAGGAATGCAGATATTTGGTTCCTGAGAAAGGATCGTCCTCTGCCAAAAGGAAAGCTGTTTTTCATCACGAACCTCCCACAAAACGGTCTAGGGTTTCAGGTGAAGGCAGCGTCTCCAGACATAACCTGGATGAGACATCCAGAGTCTCAAAGAGGTCACTCTCACCAGATGGTGAGGGATCTGGAAGTCCAGCAAAGAGAATCAGACTGTCTGATTCTGAGAGTCCCTCGCCTTCAGCCAAAGATCAGTTCGAGGCAAAATACGAGCAAAAAGATCAGCTTGGAAAGGGAGGCTTTGGATTTGTTTATGGTGGCTACCGCAGGGCAGACAATTTACCTGTGGCAATCAAACATATACCAAAGAAAAATGTAGTCTGGACAGATACGGACGAGAACGGCCAGCAGCTCAGCATTGAGGTAGCCGCCATGCTAAAACTCCGGACAGAATCAGCTGATTCGGTGGGGAAGTCCGCTCCAATTTCCCTCCTGGACTGGTACGATTTCAACCAGGAACAAATTCTAGTGTTGGAGAGACCAGTGCCTGCAGTGGACCTCTCACAGTTTATTAAAAATAACAAAGGGCCCCTACAGGAGAATCAGGCTAAAACAATTATTAAACAGCTGGTTGATGCCGTCAAACATCTGGAGGACACCAACATCTTCCACAGAGACATCAAACCACGAAATATTCTGATTGAAACAGGATCAGAAATCCCGCGACTGCGACTGATTGACTTTGGAGTGAGTTGTTTCACCAACACAGAATATGAAAACGGCCGGTTCTACGGCACAGCGAAACACGTCCCTCCTGAGTTTATTTCAGAACGCATTTATAAGGCAGGACCAGCAACCGTGTGGCAGGTGGGAGTTGTTCTCTATGAAATGCTCCACGAAAGTTTGTTTGACTCAAAAAAGTTTTTCAGTAACAAACTCAGAATCAGGACGGACCTCTCTCCATACTGTACGAACTTCCTAAAGAGCTGTTTCATGAGAAGCCCACAGTGGCGTCCCACCTTAAAGCAGCTCCAGCGTGACCCTTGGCTTTGGTTAAACAGAAACTAAAGTCTTCAAAGCTCTGGACCCAATTCAACTGGCACCAAGCTAGATCCCTCCTAACTCGGACACCTCTCAACCCCTAACAGAGTCACCTATCATCTCCTACATTTCCCTCAACCCACTGCAGGACTGAGCCCAAAAAAAGGCCCTGGCAGTGCACCATAACTGTTTATATGATAGGATATGCAAAGGCACACAACACCCCAGAGAATCAGCATGTTGTGTTAGTAACCAGAAAGAGGAAAATAAACAGCTGGATCAAGAAAAGTCTGTCAAACCAGACCCAGAGAAGAAAGTTGAGATGATTTCTGCACCTCTCCCTCTGGGAGCTCCAGTTCACCCCCACCCAGGAATATTCTAGTCCAACTTATCGTTTACGACTTATTTAGCATTATGGGAGACTCTTTTGCACACAAGAGTTACTCTCCAGCTCTGGTTAAAGATTCAGAGACTTATATTAGCATGGAACAACCGCAAAATCACAAGTGATCATAAAACCGATGGAAAATGATTAAAAGTTTGAGTTAAAAAATAGGAAAACAAAAGATTTAGGTAAAAACAGCTTTAAATAAAAGGGTCTTCAGCTGTTTTTTAATGGTTACCAGACTGTCAGTACTACATAAGGTTAAAGGAAGTTCATTCCGAAGCCAGGGTGCAACAACCTGGAAGGAGCGATCACCTTGACTTTTAAATCTGGTCTTTGGAACTTCTTGGGTCGGATCAGAAGAAACAAAAAAACAGTCAATCAATCAATCAATCAAAGCTTTATTTATAAAGCGCCTTCCGCAACCCTGTCAGGAAGCCCAAAGCGCTGAACATGGTACAGTAGAAGTAAAAAAAGATTTAATCCTCGGGTGAAAAGCACTAAGGGCCTTGCCAAAAAGCAGCATCAGCCTCGTCTTTGCCCTTTCCCTTGACTCTGCCCTTTTAGAACTTTGCTTTATGACATCATCATGTTCATCATCATCATCTCCATCATCATCTCCATCATCACGTGATCATAAGATCATAAGCGGATTCTACAGGCATTCAGTTCTCAGTGACGCACCGTCAGAGACAGTCGTGTTTGCTCGTTGTTCAATAGTGTTTCAACTTATCGTCTACGTGTTATTTAGCATTATGGGAGACTCTTTTGCACACAAGAGTTACTCTCCAGCTCTGGTTAAAGATTCAGAGACTTATATTAGCATGGAACAACCACATTTGTCAGAGAATCGTGGTTTAGTTTCAGCAACCAATCAGAAAGCCGTTTCAGACCCTGGACCACCCACAAGAAGGATTAAGGTTTCTGATGAAGGCGGACTCTCTGCAAACAACCCAAACAATGTATAAATAGACAACTTCTCAAAGAGAATCATTTCGTTTGATGGTGAGGGATCTGAAACT